CACACTGCTGGCCAACTAGGTCTTCACCCGGGTTCACAGAAGTCTATTGAACGTTGTAGGGCTTAGCTCACCGCTTCATTGCTGTTTTTCCCTCACTTCCCCTTATTGGTGTTGAGCATGGTTACCAATTGCAGCGTGTATTCCCATTGAGTCTTAGTCTTGGAAGGGGATTTGCACTGAGGGGACCTGACCACTTGCCTTGATCATATATGAGGTTCTTGATATTATCCCACACTGTTCTGGTCTTCAGTCAGTAGCGTCTAATGCATCAAATCAGTTCTTTTGAGATGGTCTCCAAATTCATGTGGGATATGTCCAAGGTCATATTTTGGTTCCTATGGACTTGTTTTAATTTTCTTCAGCTTCAAACTGTACTTGCATATGTGCAATTGATGGTTTGTTCCACAGTCTGCCCCTGGCCTTGTTTTGGCTGATGAGATGGAGCTTTCCACTGTCTCTCTTCACAGATGTCGTCAGTTTGAGTTCTGTGTATGCCATCTGGTGAGGTTCATGCATATAATCATTTATTGTTTAAAAAGTGCATTTTAATGAAGAGGTCATTGGTCTTGTGAAAGGCTATCATGCTCTCTCTGGCATCGTTTCTATCACCAAGGCTGTATTTCTAACTACTGACCTTTCCTCTTTGTTTCCAATATTTACATTCCAATCACCAGTAATTATCAATACCTGTTGATTACATATTTGATCAATTTCAGACTCAAGAAGTTGGTAGAATTCTTCTATTTCATCCTCACTGGCTTAGTGGTTGGTACATAAATGTGAATAACAGTGGTATTAACTGGTCTTCCTTGTAGGCATATGGATGTTGTCCTATCACAGACAGTACTGTACTTCAAGACAGATCTTGAAATGTCCTTTTTGACGATGAATGTAATGCCATTCCTCTTTAATTTGTCATTCCCACCATAGTAAACCATGTGATTGTCAAATTCAAAATGTCCAACACCAGTCCATTTCAGCTAGGATGGAGTCCTGGTGTGGCGCTGTAGGGTAAGCATTTCACCTTAAGGCCCGTTTGAATCACAAGGTCAGCGGTTCAAACTCAGTAGCCACTCCCCAGAAACACTATACAAAGTTGCTGTGAGTTGAAACCGACTGGACAGCACTTAACAACAGTGCCTAGGATACTGATCTTTATGAGTTCATTTTTGACAACTTCCAATTTTCCTAGATTCATACTTCATACATTCCAGGTTTCCATTAGAAATGGATGTTTGCAGCTCTTTCTCCTCATTTTGAGTTGTGCCCCACCAGCAAATGAAAGTCCCGAAAGCTTTACTCCATTCTTGTCATTATGGTCAACTCTACTTTGAGGAGGCAGCTCGTTCTGAGTGCCTTCCAACCTGAGGGGCTCATCTTCTGGCACGATTATCTGACAATGTTGCTCTCGAGTCACTTCTGACCCATAGTGACCCTGTATAGGGTTTCCGAGAAGCGGGCTGTGAGCTTGAACCGCTGACCTTGCAGTCCAGTGCATTTACCCACAGCATCACATAGAACTCCATATCTGGCAACATTCTGGTGTTCTTCATCATGTTTCAATATTTCATATTCTGGTGTTATCTGACAGTGTTCTACTGCTGTTCATAACGTTTTCAGTGGCTAAACATTCAGAAAAGTCTGCCTCTCCTTCTTCCGAGTTTGCCTTAGCCTGGAAGCCCAGCTGAAACCTGCCCACCGTGGGTGATCCTGACGGGATTTAAAATATGGTGGCATAACTTTCTGCATCCTAGCAATACACAAGCCACCACAGTACCAAAAACTGACAGTAAGGTGGTGAAGGAAGCATGTACTGTCTTATGTACCAGATCAGGGGTGGGCAAACGATGGCCCACCAGTCAGAGCAGCCCTATAATCGATTTTTCGTATGATTTGTGAGCAAAGAACAGTTTTACACTTTTGCGTTGCTGGAAAAAAGACAAATGAAGCTATTTTGTGACACGTGAAAATTACATGAAATTCTCATTTCCGTGTCCACTGACCATTTGACTGGCACACACCTTGTTTGCTCACGTATTGTGTGTGTGGCTTCAGTACTGTATCCCGCAGAGCTGAATAGCAGTAACGGAGGCTGTATGGTCCACTGAGCCCAGAATGTCTGCTTTCTGGCCCTTTGCTAGAACGTCTGCCAAGCCCCATGCAAACTGTGTCAGCCCACTGGGAAGGATGAGCTACTGAATATGTCATGGCAAGGCAAGGGGTGGATACGTCCAGAGTGGAAGCATAAAGTGCTTTGAGAAGCGAATCAGCCTTAGAGTCCAGTGACTCCCCTAGCAGGTGCCTCAGTTAGACCTGAAGGAGCAAGGGGTCAGATCAAAGTAAGAAAAGGGACCTATACTGAAGGCACAGGCCCGGAAGTTACCAAAAGTGTGTGTGGATTGAGCCACGTTCCGCCAGATACACAGGAGTCCTATCCTCTGGTACCTGTGAACAAGATCTTGTCTAGAAATAGGGTCTCTAAAGTTGGGACGAGGTGGGTCCCAATCAAGGAGGGGCAGAGTGAGATAGAAGGATGCCATGTGACGACGGAGGCAGGCAGACTGCAAGACACAGACTGCCGGAGACCGTCAGCAGCTGGGAGAGACTCTTCCTCAGAGCCTCAGGAAGAATCAACACCGCTGACACCTGATTTCTCACTGCTGGCTCCCAGACCTGGGAGACAACACATGTCTGTTCTTGAAAGCTCCCCACTTAGTGGTATTTTGTTAGTGCATACCTGGGTATGTTTGGCTCTATGGATCTGGGAGTGAGCAGCTTGGAGCGCAGGCCCCAAGGCAAAGCCTCGGATAGGAGGAGCAGAGGGTCTAAGACAGCATCCTGAGGAACATCAAGATTTATAAGGCAGCAAGAGGAAGAAAGACCAGCAGAGGCGGCTGAGGAGGGAGGAAAACAAACAGGAACTTTGAAGGCAGCAAGGGCCAGGAGAAGGAAGGCCTCATCAGCAGTGTCGAAGGCTGCTGAGCCATCACACAAACCCCAAGTATGCCCACTGGACTCAGAGACGAGGGCCTGGTGGCCAGGACCTTTGGATCTTACCAACCCATCCAAGGTGGCCTGCAACTCCTCACACAGCCGTTCCAGCTCCTTATTGTACTCAGGATATGTCGTCTTCCCTTCATTAGTCTCAGAAGCTGGGCTGCTGCTCTCTACTTCTATCTTGTCTTTACTCCTGGACAGAACAGGAACAATATGTACTCTGGAAGCTCACCTGCCTCGCTCCGTTATGATAAATCCTACAATGCTCAGTGTTCACAACATTACTTTAGACACTGTGTATTAGCGCTGCTCTTTTGTGTCATTATAATATACATCTACTCCTCAGTTACATACAAAATTAATGTATTCATGGGGTTCTCCTTTGTGTATTAGAATAAGTCAACTAATTCCTGCCATTATGTGGCATTCTTGGGGTTGGGTGCAGCACTGGTTCACAAAGATGTGGACCCTGGCCTCAAAGACTTGAACAGGTAAGACTGTGCTGTTTAAACTGAAGGCTGTGACCTTTAGGGCAGGAAATACATGTAATGGGACCACAATCAACATTAAAGAAAAACATTAGAGACAGACTTCCGGCAAGATGGCGGACTAGGCAGATGCACTACAACAAAGATACGAGAGGCCAAATGAAACAGACATAGGTGAAACTTCTGGCACCCTGAATTTCAGAGGAATGGTTACAGAATTGGGCTGAGTGCATGCTGGGAGGAGAAGCTGAGCAAGAACTGTGAGAGCCAGAGAGTGACTGGTAAGTGGCTGGCCAGACGTGATACAACCATCTTGGGAGCACCTTGGCAACAGAGAGTGGCCTAGTAGAGCAGATTAACACATGAGACAGGAAAGGTGTGAGTCAGACAGGAAAGGTGTGAGTCCTCGTTCCTCATGCTCCCCTGGTGACCAGAGACGCTGTTACCTCCCACCATCATCCACTCCCAGCTCAGGCCCTGCTCTCTAGGAGTTCCGAGCCATGTGGTTGGGAGCCACGCCAGTGTGAGGCGGTGATAACTGTGCTGTTTTTGGTGCCGGCATTCAGGTGAGCTCAGCTTCAGACCTACAGAACCCACAGAGCCACCAGGCCAGCATTTAACCAGTCACCCTGCCCCCAGCTGCCCTGTGGTCCTAACAAACACTGAAAGCAGCTCCATCAGGACCTCCATAAACTACTTCAGGAGTGACGGCCCTGAACATAGATGACACCAAGGCCCATAGGAACTCCATCTAGAGCCAGGAACTCTGCTACCACGCCCCTCCTATACCCACCTCGTGAGCTCCTTGGCTTGCAGGAGCCCCCCCGGAGTTTTCTCCTCTCCAGGTCCAACAACTAGACTATATTTTTGGTTTTGTTTAGGGTTTTAGTTTTACCTTTTCTTGTCTCACTGTTTTTGTTTGTTTAATCTTTCTCCTTCTTCTCTTTTCAGTCCCTTGAATTTTATTCTTTCTATTTCTTCTGTTTCTTATTTCCCCCCTTTTCATCTTTCTTTACTACTCTCTGGTCTTCTTGTTACTTTGTTCCCAATCCCTGGTTTTTCTGTTTTTGTTTTTCCTCTCTCTTCTTCCTTTTATTTCTTTTCTTCTATAGCTCCACTTTCCTGTCCACCTTCTCTTTTCATTACTTTTAAGGGTTGCTTTTTTCAAAAAAAAAAAAAAAATCCCTTTTATTTTCACTCTCATTTTTCTCTATTAGCTCCACTGCTCTGTCCATCCTATATCTTTAGTTATTTATTAGTTTTTTTCTGGTTGCTGCCTGTTTATATATATTTTTTCTCTTTATTATTTTCTCCTTTCATTGTTGTTGTTGTTGTTGCCGTCGAGTCGGTTCCGACCCATAGCGACCCTGTAGAGGGTTTCCAAGAAGCAGCTGGTGAGCTTGAACTGCTGACCTTGCAGTTCAAATGGCTTTGCAATCTGGTGCATTAATCCACAGTGCCACACCAGGACTCTTCATTGTTAGCTCATGATTTATTTCTTCTCCTCTGTTTTCTCCTGTGAGGGGGAGGGATTTTCTTTTTCCCCGCCCAGCAGGAGACTACCATCTTGCCCATGCAGCCTGCCACAACTGTATCCTCTGCAGCTTTGCCCACTGGGCAAGAGCCAGTGCTAGCTCCTATACCACCTGATCAACAACAGACAGCAGCCAACAGCAGTCAAACCCACCCTGAATTGAGGTGCACACTTCCATTTTCTAACTATGCCAACAATCACCAGTTAAAACAAATATGACAACCCCACAATGCTCTGGAAACAACAGACATTTCTAGCTCACACGAAGAAACAAAAGAATGGCTCTAACAAGTGACCAAGATGCAGAGCCAGAAAACATTTCTGAGGAAGACAAGGTCATGGAATTAACTAAAAAATAATTCAAAAGAGTGATAATTAGGTACTTTCAAAGGAGTGATAGAAATATCAAGCAAAGCAAGGCAAAAACAGTAAAAACTTTAGAAGAATGCAGGAAAACATTACAAGAACACGCAGACAAAATAAATGCAAATTTTGAAACAATACAAAATCAGCTAGTAGAAATCCAGAAGGTTAATACTAAGATCTCAGAAATGGGCAAGACATTGAAAGTGCAAAGGAGTACATGCGAAATGCAAATTAGTGAGCTTGAGGATAAATCAATCTCTCAATACTGGTATGCTAGAACACCCAGAAAAAAGGATTAAAAAAGCCAAAGGAAGCCTATGAGCTATGTGAAACACCATGAAAAGGAACAACTAATAAGTGAGTGGAATTCCAGAACAGGAAGAGACAGGATGAACTGAAAATCGGGAACCAGAGCTATCCATGTATAATGAAGTCAACGACAAAGAGTAAAGAGGGAATAGTGTGGTCACAGAACTTCCAAAAGGCAAGGAAGTCAAGTAGATTTCAAGATAAAAGAGATAGTTTTAAATAGGGAAAATGTTAATAAATTGCAGGGTACCCTCAAAGAAAATGAATACACCTGTACATCAAAATTCAAAAAAAGAGGAAAATCAAAAAGATTTAGTAAGCATTAATACAAGAGAATTGAACATACAAAGAAAATCCACAGACAAATTTAACTCAGTGCAGAAAATTAGGTGGAACAAAGAAAACAGCATCATCATCATCAAAACAAAACAAAACCCACATAGCATCAAAATTACCTATCAAAATTACAATGAATATAAATGGAGTAAATGCACCAGTCAAGAGACAGCGCAGAATGAGTAAGAAAACAGAACCCTTCAATATACTGTCTACAAAAGATATATATGTTAAAAAAAAATGGAGACAGCCTAAATGACCATCAGCAGAAGAATGGTTAAGTGTACTTTGGTATAGACACACAATGGACACTACCCAATGTTGAAGAACAGCAATGAGTCTGTGAAACAAACTCACAACATGGATGAACCTGGAGGACATTATGCTGAAGGAAATTAGTAAATCACAAAAAGACCAATATTGCATGAGACCAATGTTGTAAAAAGTTAAGAAAAGGTTTTCTGGATAAAACAATCAGTGATGATAAAGGAGAGGATGGTAGTAGTGGTGTGCCGTGGAGTCAGTTCCCACTCATAGCGACCCTGCATAGGGTTTCTGAGGCTGTAAATTTTTATGGGTGCAGAAAGACTCATCTTTCTCCCACAGAACTGCTGGTAGTTTCGAACTGCTAACCATGAGGTTAGCGGCCCAACTCGTAACCACTATGCTACCAGAGCTCCTTAGTAAAGGAGGGGAGAGGGAAAATTATTCATGGACTACAGGGTTGTTGTCGTTAAGTGCCATCTAGAGGGTTTTGACTCATAGTGATCCTGTATAGTTTCCAAGGAGCATCCTGCTAGTTTGAATAGCCGACCTTGCAGTTCAAACCAACTTTGCTGTTGAGTGCTTATCCTATGGCTCCATACCAGGACTACCAGGTAGACTCATGTTAACATGGGTGACAAGGCTGGCAATACACAACAAAGGAAGGTTAACAGAAGAAAGATGAAGGTAGCAGGAAACACAGGGAGGAATGCAATAGTTAAAGTGAATAGAGGTAATGCTGGAAGGGATTGCAATCATTGTCATGAAGCAAAGTATATGATTTATTGAATAAAAAACTGATGACCTGCTCTGTAAACCTTCACTCAATTCACAATTACAAGTTAAAAGAAAAATATCAGATTAAAACAGAATAGAATAAATCAGAGAGCATTGTAATTGGGGACATTCTTTCAGGTCAGGGCCACTGATAATTGAATTACATGTCATTTTCACATGTCACAAAACAGTCTTTTACTTCAACCATGTAAAAGTGCCAAACCTAGCCGTGGATCATACAAAATGGATTCGTATATGCTGCTTTACTGCTGTTGAGTAAGTTCCAACTCAAAGCAACCCTGTAGAGGGTTTTCGAGGAGCAGATGGTGAGTTTGTACCGCTGACCTTGCGGCCCAGTGCTTATCCTACAGTGCCACACCAGGACTCCGTATTTGCGTATACATACATATACATGTAAAGAATAAAGCAACTCCTCCAATTACATAGGCATTTGCTAACATGTTTCCCCTAATTCTTTCAAGAAATAAAATACATTACCGATCAGATGGAGTTTCCTTTACCTATCACTGCAACACCCATTCCTCCCTAAAGCTCCCTCCATCCAGTTTTATAAATGCAAAGAGATGTCACCATGAACAATATGTAGCATGATTTTGTGTTTTCAAATGTACATTATACAGTTTCTACAGCAGGTATCATTCCACCACTTGCTTTTTAAAATATTTTCTGTTTTAAATTATCCATGCTGATAAATAAATACACCCTTCCTAGACTCCCACAAAACGTCTGTCCCATCGTTAAAGGAGACACGCAGAGAGTTAGGAACTCTCTCCGTACTTACAATAAACTGATCTTCAGGTTGGCGATATTGTTTGCAGTAGCAAATCCCGAATCATTGAGTGATTCCCATTTCAAGATTAAATTATGCCAATCGGCTGCGTTGTCCTTGAGTTTTCTTGCACTGACAGGTAAGACAGGTTTTCTGGGAGTTGCTACTCCAAGGGCCTTTGCTGTTACAGAGTAAAAGAAGCATAATTATTATGAGACATCATATTTGGAAGTTGCCTTGAGCATTATGCTCTTTGAAGATCTATATGGAATCAAACTGACAACAGCACTGCGCACTATTAGGTAGGAACCTTAGGGCGCAGGTAGTTGATGTGAACGAGGAAGGACAACTCAGAAAATGAAGATTGTCATGTCACTGAATTACACCTGTGGAAACGGTGGCACTGCTGTTTTGCTATGCCTGCTCTCAAGGAGTCCTGGGGTGGCGCTGTGGGCTAAAGCATCAGACTGCAAAGTTGTTTGAACTGCAAGGGCGGTGGTTCAAGCTCACCAGCTGCTCCTTGGAAACCCTCTACAGGGTCGCTATGGGTCGGAATTGACTTGACAGCACTTAACAACAACAACAGCATTCTCAATAAAAGCCACAACAAAAATAAATTGTATATATATAAGAAAGGTTGAAGGGCAAATGTCTTTATCATTTTCAACAATAAAACTTTCCAATGGTGAAATAACTTGGGAGGAGATGGCAAGAATGATGTTGAAGCATGAAGATTGTGACCAATGTCATTGAGTTGTGTGTGTGCTCACAGCATAAAGTCTAACTTTGTCAAAGGCTGTTAGGAACCCAAGACCCAGAACAGCGGAATGATTGGGTCTGGACTCTGAAGACCACACTCCCTGGATGTGAATCCCAGGTCTGCCATTGCTAGCTACATGATGTGGACAAGTGTGTTAACTTCTTGAAGCCTTGATTTTGTCATCTCTAAAATGGGGAGTATGGTGGCTCCATATGACTAGCACTGGGTTGGCAGCCACAATGTCCATGGTTTGAGCCTACCAGCCGCTCTGTGAGAGAAAGATGAGGCTTTCAAGTGAAGATTTAAAGCCTGGGAAACTATACAGGGTTATTCATATATATCACAACACTTGTCAATTCCACACTTTCCAGGTATACAGTCTAGTGTTATCAACCACAGGAATCATGTTAGGAATGATCACCCCTAATCTTGCCAGATGTCCCAGACAGCTTCATCTTGGTTTTCCTTCACTCTTCCACTTACACAAATAGTAAATGTTGTTGCGTGGCTACAGTATGCCAGGCATGCAGGCTGAAGTGATTGAATAGAGTCATCTAAGATCATTGTGTGGAGGCGGATAATAAACAACTGAGTGATCAGGATCAGAGGACCTGTGTTAGGTGTTTCAATGTAGGTATTGAGTAGGTAGGTATATCACTTAGCCTGAGAACTGAGTGATGAGAAGCCAGAAAAGAAAGGTAGAGGCGACAGTATGTGTGGGGGCCCTTGTGTTAGAATGAGCATTGCGAATTTGAAAAGCAGAAAATGACAAATGTGGTTAGAAAAAATGGAAAGGGAGGATCATTCCCACTCCCTTAGTAGACAGGGTCAGCAAGGATGGGGAACTTAAAATACTGGCTACCCAAAATGGGGAGGGGAGGTGCTACAAAGGCAAGAAGTGACTTGCTTACAAGCTTTCAATAGGGAACCTAGTTCCAGAGGGTACGAGGAAAGGTAGAATTTCCACTGAGTGGTTTCCAACCTGTCTGGATGGGCTGATAAAAGGTGAGTAGGTTCAATAGAGAATGATTGCTCTCAGGTCTGACAGTGAGTGTTGGAAAGGTAAATGTAAATGTTTTATAACAAAAGGAGGGGAAGGGCTGATTTTGTAGTCCAGGAGTGGAGATCCCCGGAACCATCAAGGGAGAAAAGTAAAGTGCCGGACCCTGGACTGGGAGGCAGTGACACCAGGGATGGAGGCAGAGATGATGACATGAAGAGAAGGAGCGACTGGGGACTCTGGACTCAGGGAGGAAAAGGGGCTGTACGCTGGCAGCTGGGGGGCAAGCATGCGGGGTGTACCCTTTGGTTCTTTGATGATGCATGCAGGGTAGTATAATCATTGCAATGAAATGAAATACGATAGGATGAATGTAAAGATAATGTTCTCCCACATAAATTAACACATGATTCACAATAAAAACGTAAAAAAAAATTGGGGAGGGAAGATGTGGTTGACGAGGAGGAATGTGACATATACACATAAAATGAGGCCCATGAATTGCAGGTGAACTTGGGCAAGAAAAAACATGTGGTTTGATTATACCCACTCCATCACATTGATTCTGACTCTTACTGAGCCTATAGTACACGGTAGGACTGATCCCTAGGGTTTTCAAGGTGCTACCTTTTTAAGAAAGACAGCTTTATCTTTCACCCTTGGAGAGGCCAGTGGGTTTCAGCTGCTAACCAACACATGGGCACCATTGTACTTTATTCTAATACAATGGAAAGCGAGCAATGGGCTGTGAGTAGAAATATAACATGAACTGCTTACTGTTTTTTAAAGGTCACTTTAAATGGAAAAGTCACTCTTCCCGCCTGTGTAAGGGTTTGTCTCCCGCTAAGGAGGCTCCTTAAAGAGCCCTGTTAGCATATTGAGTTACGACCTGGACTGCTTACCACCAAGATCAGCAGTTCAAATCTACCAGCTGCTCCGCGGATGAAAGATCAGGCTTTCTGCTTCCATTAAGATTTACAGCCTCAGAAGCCCTATACAGGAGTCCTGGTGTGATGCCATAAGATAAGGACTCACCTCAAGGTCGGTGTGAACGGCAAAAACGTGGTTCAAACCCACCAGTTGCTCCTCTGAAACCCTATACAGGGTTGCTATGAGCAGAACAGACTCAATGGCACTGAACAAGAACAAAACCCTAGACAGGGTCGCTAGGAGTCAGAACTGACTCACACCACCACCACCAATGAGGGCTCCGTGAGGGCAAGGGCCACCTCTGATTCTTCCTTTGTCCCACATCAGGCACTTATTTAGGAACTGAAAACAGGACATGGTTTTTTATTTCAAGGAACTCACAGGCTAGTTGAGAAAGAGACTAGTAATCAGTCACAAGACAGGGCATAGTGAGGTAAGCATAGTACTAACAGCACAGACAAGTTATTTAACCCTTCTGAGCCGAGCCTTCCCCATTTACAAAATGTGGATGACAACAGAACTTCTTGGAGTTACTATGAAGCTCAAGTGAGCTGATGAGAATGTAAAGTCTGTAAAACGAAACTCGGCACAGCGGGAACAATGCACTACAGAGTGTACTTCTCAATGAGCGCACAGAAAAGGATTTCTGGGGAAGCAGAGCATGCAACGGACCCCCACCTGCTCTGTTAATGCTAACTTATAATGCAATTTGATAATCAGGAACTCAGCTAGCGCCTTTGCATACATCATCTCACTGCGACACTTGTAACATCCGCAGCCTCCCCGCCCAGTCAACTGTCCCGGCTCACGTACCTTCCATGTCACCTGAAGATATCCCTGGAATGAGACGCGAAGCCCCGCCCACGTCCGCAGGAAGCGCGTGACGTCACTTCCATCGCGCCAGTCGCCCGTTGTGGCTGGGCCGCTCTAGCCCTAGGCGGAGCCCGCTGCTGCACGGCGGTACCAACTCCGTTGCCAGGGAACGGGCTCCCGGCAGCCCCCGCGGCACTGAGTCCATCCCCGCCTCCTCCGGCCCCGCCGGGCGGACGACACCCGAGGGGCCGCCGCGGGAGGTGAGTCCGCTACGCCGCAGGCGGCCCTCCCACACCCCTACGCCCGACCCTGCACCCCTCCTTAGTCACCCCGCGTTCCGCCAGCTCACTCGGGTCAACCTTCCCTCGCTCAGCCCCTCAGGGCCTCCACTGCCCTTGCGCCCATTTCACCGGTTGGCGGACTCTTCGCGGAGTGTTTGGACGACCAAGTTGGATAACACAAGGGCGCGCTGAGCTTGCCTGACTTAGAGCTGGCGGTACCCGCAGGGAGCTAGGTCCCCCGGCACCATCCTCAGGTCCCGCGTCTCTCGTGCCTGGTCTCCCCTCCTGCGCCCGCGCTGTCCTCCCTTCTGCCCCACCCTGGCTGACCCCCGGGGTCCCCAGCTCCTAGCATCTTAGTCATTTGACTGACGTTGCCCCTGCATTTTCCCAACCCCCAGGCTTCACATCTGCCCACCATCGCCTGGCACCAGGCTTTGCCACGTACGTACCTAATCGTTGATGTTAAGTGCCGTGGAGTCGGTTGCGACTCTGCGACTCCGGTGTAGGGTTTCCGACGAGCGGCTGGTGGGTTTGAACCGCCAAGCCTGTGGTTAGCAGTCCGGTGCTTATCCTACAGCGCCACACTAGGAGTCGGCCCCACCCTGGCCTGGTCCGGAGGTTCCTGGGTTCTTAGCACCTTCCTCTTTTGATTGACATTGCCCTGCACCCTCCCAGCCCCCACATCTGCCCACCAAGCCTAGCACCAGTGTTTGTTAATGGATAAATTGGACCCCTTCCCCCACCCCCGCTCCCCGGTTGGACCTGGCTCACTGAGCTTGAGTTTCCTCTGTAAAATGGAGATGATCATTGTTCCACCGTTAGGTTGGTGGGAGGATTCAGTCAGTGCTTGGAAGGTGCTTAGCACCAGTGTTTTTGTTGTTGTCTCACATGCCCACTAATAGCGACCCTATGCGCAACAGAAGAACACCGACATCTTTATCACCGTTATGTTAGAACCTATTGTTGGCAGCCACTGTGTTAGTCCCTGGTCGTTTTTACGGACTCTCTAGTTTACCAGGCATGAATGTGCCTCTCCAGAGAGTTTAAACCAGAAAACCAAACCTACTGTCATCAAATTAGGTCGGACTCATAAAGACATTATATAGGGTTTCCAAGACTAAGTCCTGGTGTGGCGTTGTGGGTTAATGCGCTGGACCACAAAGTCGGCTTGATCCACAAGGTCGAGATGAGTTGGGACCAACTCTTGGCACTTAATAACAACAATAGCTATTTATAGGAGCAGACAGCTTCAGCTTTCCCATGGAGCGCTGTTGAGCTTGAGCGTTAATGGTACCTCTGTCTGTGTGTCTGTACTGGTCTTCCCAGACTCCAGAAAGTATAGATTAGAAGGCAAAGACCACAGAGAATCCACGGAAGGAGAGAGGAAACAAAAGATGAAGGGGACTGTGTGGTGCTGCCTGTCGTCAGTATCTAGCGATGCTATACCAGAAATAGCACATGCCATGGTTTTACCAGCTGGAAATTTATTCTCCCACGGTGTGGGAGGCTAGAAGTCCAGATTCAGAGCTCCAGCTCTGGAGAGAGGTCTCTGTCTCCTTGCAGCATCTGTAGACCCAGCATTCATTGGAGAGTTCCTTAGGTCTTGGTCTGGATCTAGGAGCTTCACAGTGCGGGGGTCCCAGGTCCAAAAGACTCACTCCCCCACTGCCCCTTCTTTCTTGGTGGGTGTGTCAGTACCATTGAGTCGGTTCTGACTCATAGCAACCCAATATAGGGTTTCGAAGGATCGGCTGCTCACTTCTCTCTCCATTTCTGTCTCAAAAGAGATTGGCTCAAAATACCTACTCCTGTAGATTGCATCTGACCTCATTAACACCATAGAATAAATATACATTGGATCATTACATCAGATCAGATCATATTATGGAGGGAATAACTATATACTAAACCGCTGAGAAGCCTAGCCTAGCCAAGTTGACAACAAATTTTGAGTTGGAATGTGACAAAAAAACTGTTACTTGGAATTCTGTCTGAGGCCATCTGTGTGACCGATATCTGGGAGAGGAGAAGTAAGTGGGTCTTAAAGCAGCCCTGGTGGCACAGTGGTTAAGCACTCAGCTGCTAACTGAAAGGTTGCTGGTTTGAACCCACATGTGACTCCATGGGAGAAAAATGTGGCGGCCTGCATCTGTAAACATTACAGCCTTGGAAACAGTATGAGGCAGTTGTCTTCTGTCCTATTAAAGTCACTGTGATGGTTTGGTTTTCGTTGGCTTGGTTGGTTTCTCAGGGAAACAAAGAAGAGAGGAGGGGGATATTGCTCTGCAGAGAGGGAAGTGTCATCGTGTGTGTTCAGGGACCTTGGGCTCCTTGGGTCTGGAACCCAGAGCATTTGGATGGAAGGAGGGGCCTGAGATGAAGCGAGAGAAGCCAGTTGTCAGAAGGTCTAACTTCCGTGTTTGTGTCAGGCCTGTGAGCACCAGCTAGCCAGCAGGGCTGGGAGCTGTGTAGCGACAGCCCTTCATGTGGGAGACAAACAACCGCCACAGCCCCACCATGTTCAGCCTTAGACTTTTTAATTTAACACAAGAATGAATACTTGTTGTCTCACTTTAAAAATAGATTGCACAGTACGAACACTTAATTGTCTGTTCATGGAGATTTGGAGAGAAGCCTTGAATGATTAGTGTTGTCAGAGTCCTTGTCCTGCTAAGTGGATGATTTAGACTCTGCATTAAAGAAAGTGACAGTTGGGTGCTATCAGTGGGCAATGAAGACCAGCTGCTGGCTTGCAGGTTTGCGGGCTCGATGGCACAAATGAGGCAGGAGCATCTGGACTTGAAGAATAGCGGGTTTTTATGTTGTTTGTTTTTTTAACTGCAATATTCTTGACAAGGGAAGGATTCTTGAATTTAAAGAGCAGATGAAGAATGTGATTTTGCAGTAACACCTGAAGTTAGCATTTTACTTATTCATTCAACAAACACTGAGCTTCTACTCTGACCCAAAGATTTTGATAGCTACTGGGAGTTCCATAAGTTTTGGTGGTGTAGCGGCAAAGTACTCAGCTGCAAACCAAATGGTCAGCGGTTCAAACCTCCCGGTCACTCTGAGGGAGAAAGATTACAGCTTTGCTTTGGAAACCCTATGTATGGGGCAGCTCTACTTTGTCCTTTAGGGTCAGTATAAGTTGGAATCGATTCTTCGGCAACGGATTTGGTGTAGTTTGGGTTTGAGAGTTACATTGGTAAGCAAGAGAGGCTGTGTTGGTTACACTCTCATGGGCGAAATGGTTATTAAACTGCTTAGCAAATGAAGTAATTAGAGGTTGTGATCACTGTTAGGAAGGCTATAAACCAGATAATACAACAGATGAGGGGCTTGTGGGATGCTTGAAGTAGTAATCTGGTCAAGGAAAGCCTTTCGACATTTCGGATGTTTAAATTGAGATTCCAGTTATATGGGATGAGGTACTGATGGTTCCTGGCAGAACAGTTCTCAGTCTTCAGGGGGGGAAAGCCCGTCAGGGGGACGAGGGTGTGGAGGAAAAATGGGACTAGGGTGGAGGGGAGACGCACTGGGAGCCAGGGAAGGAGTCAGACAACACAGGACCTTCAAGGCCTAGGTGAGTGGTGGAGGCATTTGTCTTTTGTCCTCCAAGCACTGGGGAGCCGCTGAAGTAGAGTGAATGGTGTGGTCTGATTTCCTCTAAGAGAGTTTTTAAAAACCCTTTTGGTAGCAGCTGTATTGAGATGTCTTTCACATACATAGCATACAGGTCACCCATTTAGAGTGGTTTCAGTGACTTTGAGTACGTTCACACTCTTGTATAATTCCAAACATTTCCATCAGCCCCAGTTGTAGTCTCTCCATTCTGGCCCAGCAGCCCTATACCACCAACAACGTACTTATACTTCTTGTCTCTACAGGTTAACCTTTTCTGGACATTCCATATCTCAGTGCATGATACAGTTTGTGCCTTCTTCCACTTAGCATTAGGTTTTCACGGTTCACCCAAGTTACCACATGAATCAGTACTTCATCCATTTTAATCACCAAATAATATTCCTCTAGTGGTGCTGTGCGTTAATGCGCTGGACTGCAAAGTCGGTTTGCACCATGAGGTTGGTGGTTCAAGCTTACCATCTGCTCCTCGGAAACCTTATACGGGGTTACTATGGATCAGAACGGACTGCACTTAACAACAACAACTACAACATTCCTTTGAATGGAATGTGGAATACCTCATCTTATTTGTCCGTTCATAAGTCCAGTGGCCTTTGAGTTGTTTCTTGTCTTGGCCATTCCGAGTCATGCACTGCCAACATTTGTGTGCAGGTGTTTGTGTGGGTGTATGTTGTCATCTCTCTGCAGTGTTTACCTCGAAGTAGGATTTCTAGGTCATATGGTAACTGTGTTACCCTTGCTAAGGAACTGCCAGACTGTTTTCAGAGTGGTGGTGTGGGACCCTAAGAAGAAAACTCCATTAGGCTAAAGCACGTCTCCCTGTTTCAGGAATGTGCCTGGTCAGTTAGTACCAGACGGAGATGACCCCCTTCCCCTACGAGCCATAAAAGTAGAGATAAACTCTCCTGACAAACCCAAGGCTAGATAATGTATGTTTTCCTTACCCTAATTAAACTGTCCTAGCATAACAAACGCCTTCCTTACCCTAATGAAGCTATCCTAGCTATAGGTAGTGGCCAATCGAATTGTGTAAACTCGTACCTTACTATGTGTAAACCAATCCTAGAGAAGTTAGGTA